GCACCACCAGCTCCTATCAGTGCACCGCCGCTTCAGAGTTTTCAGGGTCGTCAGCCCCAGCAGTCGAGGGCTTGTTTTACTTGTGGCGACACGAGGCACATTGCTAGATATTTCCCTCGAGCACCGAGTAGCTCTCAGCATCAAGGTTCCCGTGCCATGATTCAGGCACCGAGTGTTCCATAGCCCGCCCAGCCAGCTAGAGGTGGGGTAGAGGTGCTAGAGGTGGAGGTAGAGGTCCTAGAGGTGGAGCTCAGACCGCTAGAGGTGGAGGCCAGCCAGCAGCAGGCCGTCCCAGAGATGCAGTTCAGGATGGTGGGGCCCAGCCCCGATGTTATGCTCTTCCAGCTAGGCCCGAGGCTGAGGTTTCAGATGCAGTTATTACAGGTACCGTTCTGGTTTGTGATAGAGATGCTTCAGTGTTATTTGATCCAGGGTCTATGTACTCGTATGTGTCATCTTATTTTGCACCGTACCTGGTCATGCCTAGTGATTCTCTGAGTGTTCTTGTTTATGTGTCTACACCGGTGGGTGATTCTATTATGGTAGATCGAGTCCATCATTCATGTATAGTTGTGATTGGAGGTCTTGAGACTCGTGTGGATTTGCTTCTTCTGGACATGGTCAATTTTGATGTCATATTAGGGATGGACTGGTTATCACCTTACCACGCTATCTTGGACTGTCATGCCAAGACTGTGACCTTAGCTTTACTGGGTTTACCCCGTTTAGAGTGGAGAGGGACTCCTGGTCATTCTACCCGTAGTGTTATCTCTTATGTAAAGGCTCGGCGTATGGTCGAAAAGGGGTGTTTGGCCTATTTAGCCTATGTTCGTGATTCTAGTGCTGAGGTTCCTTCTATTGAGTTTGTGCCCGTTATTCATGAATTTCCTGAGGTATTCCCTTCAGACCTACCGGGTATGCCACCCGACAGGGATATTGACTTCTGCATTGATTTGGCTCCGGGCACTCAGCCCATTTCTATTCCGCCGTATCGTATGGCCCCGCCTGAGTTGAAAGAGTTGAAGGAGCAGTTGCAAGACTTGCTTGAGAAGGGTTTCATTAGGCCCAGTGTTTCGCCTTGGGGTGCGCCGGTGTTGTTTGTTAAGAAGATGGATGGATCGATGCGAATGTGTATAGATTACCGGCAATTGAACAAGGTTACAATTAAGAATAAGTATCCGCTGCCGAGGATTAATGATTTGTTCGATCAGCTTTAGGGTGCCAAGGTATTTTCAAAGATTGACTTGAGAGCAGTTACGTGTTTGGATAAAAGTGCTGAAATCTTGGCTAGTTGAAATTCTTTGACCAAATAATAGGAGGCCGAATGGTTCTCTCTCGGCGCATGTTAAGCAGAGCTTGCTAATGTGCACGGGAAGCATGACAATTCTGGCCACCACCGCTAAAAAGCCATCGGCGAGCTTAGTCACACCAGGAAATACTGTACTATCGCATGTAAAGCCATTAACATTTGGAAGCGCCTTCCAGTTCAATTCCAAACTATAAGTGAAGACCCAGATGAAGATGTAGCTAATATCCACCAGAACCTTGCTGTGAAACGAGCAGCGAGAAGAACAGGTGAAGAGATCCCACGCCAGCTCCAATTTTCTGACCTAGCTAAAACTACAGCACAACCTACTTCCATGAATCAGGAACATGCACCAATGGAATAGGAACCAATGGAACAGGAACCAACTAAACAAGGAAACAGAATTGGTGAGGAGAAGCCTTACAAGAGGAATCAGAGCGTTCAAATGGGGAAGCCTCCCACATACATCCCACCAGATCTGCAGGGTGATACAATTGTAGTAACAATTGAAGAGGAAGACATCAAGGAACAGCAGAATTACTGGAATACTGCACTCATAGGGTACGTATTGGGTGAAAATCCATATTTCAAATCTATGGAAAACTATGTTGAAAATGTGTGGTATTTTGTTAATTCTCCAAAGATATTGTACCATGATGATGGATACTACATATTTAGATTTGATACCCTTGAAGATAGAGACAAAATCATGCAAACAGGGCCTTATACCTTTCATAATAAACCATTTATCCTGAAGAATTGGACACTTGACTTTGTCTTTAATCCTGATTGTTTGAATGTTATTCCAATTTGTGCAAGGTTTCCACATCTACCAGTGGGATTTTGGTCAGTTGAGGCCCTAAGAAAAATGGCAAGTAGTATAGGAAAGCCAATGTACACAGATCTATACACTGCTGAGATGGATAAAATTTCATTTGCTAGAGTCCTTGTAGAAGCAGACATTTCTCATCCTCTTCCAAATGATATCTTACTTCAAACTCCTGTGGGAGTAATTCATCAAAGTATAGAGTATGACTGGAGCCTAAATTTTGTATAGACTGTGCAAAAGTTGGGCACACCACAGAAGAATGCAGATAGAACAAGGAAAAAGGAGGAAATGGAGAATTTGTAGAACAGAACAAAAGAAGGAGAAGGGGAAAAAGAAGAAGGAAAGTGGAGACTAAATGGGTAGCAAAAGAGTTGCCTGCTTCAACAGCTGGGGAAGATGATAATGCAAAAGAGATCAGAACTAAGGAAGATGCAGTAGGATCACAAATGGAAGTTGGGCAGATAAATGGAGATGAATTTCCAACACTCTCAGAAGTAATAAGGAATGAGAGAAGTTATGAAAAAAGAGTGCTTGTGTCTACTGTGGAAGAACCAAGTTGTTCTACTAGCCAAATCAATACCAAAAATAGGTTTGAGATTCTGAATCAAAGGGGTATTTCAACTGATACTGGGCAGGGTGGACAAAACCACCCTACACCTCCATGATAATCAGTACTTGGAATATTAGAGGGCTGAACAAGCCCTTTAAACAGAAGGAGCTGATGCTCTTTCTGAAGAAGTATAAGGTAGAGGTAATGGGGCTAGTTGAGACCAGGGTGAAAGAGAATAAGTCAAAAATAATAGCTGTGAAAACAGTAAAGGATTGGAAAATGCAGTTCAACTATAACTGTGCATATAATGGGAGAATTTGGCTCTTGTGGAAGCCTCAGATCAACATTCAGATTCAGGTGGTTGATGCACAATTTGTACACTGTGAAGTGGAAGACTATATTAGCCAGAAGAAATGGCTTTTCACTGTTGTATATGCTTATAATGAATTGAACTCAAGGCAGCAATTATGGGAGAAGCTTATGGGTATAGGCTCCAATATTACATGTGACTGGCTAATCAGTGGTGATTTTAATAATGTTTTACAAGCAGAGGATAAAATAGGAGCTCCTATTACACAGGCAGAGGTACAAGGATTTTAAGGAGTTCTTAGACAAAATGCATCTCACTCCCTTGAAAAGCACAGGATGGTATTATACATGGTGTAATAAAAGGGATGAAAATGTGAGGGTTTATAGCAAAATAGATTGGGCATTTGGGAATTTCAGTTGGATGATGAACAATGGGCATATTGAAGCAGAATATTTGAATCTTGGGGTATCTGATCACTCCCCTATATTGATGAATTGCAGGACTGGTATCACTCAACAACAACTGCATCCTAGGCCTTTTAGATTGTACAACACTGTCCTTCACCATCCTGATTTTACAAGGATAGTGAAAGAAGTTTGGATGCAAAATGACTGTGATTCAGGAAAGTCAAGGACATGGTATAAACTCAGGAAACTGAAGGAGGCATTAAAAGGTTTGAACAACTATATGGCAGCTTACCAGCAAAAACTAAGTCAAGCAAAGCAGAAGTTAGAACTGGTACAACATCAAACCATACAACCTTTAAGGCAGGAAAGCATAGAAGAAGAAAAGGAAGCATTATTAGAAGTAGAGAAATGGAGTAACATTGAGGAGCAGGTGATGAGACAGAAGTCCAGAGCAAGTTGGATTCAACATGGAGATGCAAACACCAAGCACTTCCATGCTCAATGGAAGATGCGCACTAACAATAATGCTATTGTCTCTATTCACAATGATGCAGGTATCAAACTAACAGATCCTAAACAGGTGGAGGAGCAATTTTTGGAATTCTTCAAGAAGCTAATGGGGGAATCATCACCAGTGCACCCATGTCCAGATGCTGAGGTGATTAAACAAGGACCTTGTCTAACAAGGTCACAACAGTTAGAGATGATCAAGCCAGTCACTGTGGAAGAGATAGTTGGAGCTATTAAAAGCATGCCAACTGACAAAGCCCCAGGGGTAGATGGATTTCCAGTTGAATTCTACACTAACCAATGGGAGGTGATCAAAGAAGATGTGATTGCTGATATCTTGGAGTTCTTTTAGACAAGGAAGCTGTCAAAGGCCATAAACAGTACTGCTATCACTCTTATTCCTAAAGTTCCTAATCCTACACAGGTTAAGGACTTTAGGCCAATAGCATATACAAGATAATCACAAAGATTATAACTGGGAGATTAAAAGCAGTAATGAATTACTTAGTTGGAGACTCTCAATCAGCATTCATTGAAGGCAGGAATATAACTGACAACATCCTATTCACTCACGAACTATTCAAGGCTACACCAGGAAAGGTATATCTGGAAGATATATTCTCAACGTTGATCTAAGAAAAGCTTATGATACATTGGATTGGTTCTATTTGAAAAGGATAATGATAGGGCTGGGATTTCCACATAAATTTGTATGCTGGATTATGGAGTGTATAACAATTGTATCCTACTCCTTGACTTTAAATGGAGGATTCACAAAACCATTTGAAGGCAAGAGGGGGATAAGACAGGGAGATCCCATGTCACCCTACTTATTTGTGCTAGCTATGGAGTACTTGCAAAGGGAGTTTAGACAACTGGCAGCAAACAAAGAGTTCCACTTTCATCCAAGGTGCAAAAAGCTTGGAGTGATGCATGTATGTTTTGCTGATGACCTATTGATGTTCTGCAGAGCTGACTTGCAGTCAATTAAGTTAATGCAGGATGCATTCCAGAAATTTTCAAAAGCATCAGGACTATAAGCAAATCCTGACAAAAGCTCAGTATACATTGCAGGTACATCTGAGAGGATGAAAGATCTTATCTTGCAGGAGTTGGGGTACAATGAAAGCAGCTTACCCTTTAAATACTTAGGGGTTCCATTAGCTTCCAAAAAGCTATCTAATCATCAGTGTTGGCCATTGGTTGAAAAGATTACTGCAAAGATCAGTTGCTGGACTTCAAAACTATTATCATATGCTGGAAGATTGCAGCTGATCAAGTCAGTAATTTTTGGGATGCGGTCTTATTGGGCTCAGGTCTTTTTACTACCAAAGAAGATAAGCAAAATGATAGAGGCAGTATGCAGAACCTTCTTATGGACTGGGCAGGTTGATATATCTAGAAGAGCTTTGGTAGCATGGGACAGAGTCTGTTTACCACAAACAATGGGAGGATTAATTGTGATAAACCTGTGCAACTGGAACAAAGCTGCAATAGTGAAGCATCTATGGGCAATCACAAAGAAGAAAGAGTGCTTGTGGATTCGATGGATCCATACATACTACGACACCATGCCTATACCTAAGAGTGCAGCTTGGGTAGTAAGGAAGATTATTGAGCAAAGGAAGTTTATATTAAATCTACCAACTTTACAAGGCAATGTGCAAGAAAGAGTGGAGTCTCTACAGAACACAAGAGGTAAATTCAGCATAAAGAAGCTATATAATTTGCAAACTCCTCAGGGTCAGAAGGTATACTGGAAAAGTTTGATATTACATCCTCAGATACATCCTAGGCACAAATTCAATATGTGGCTGGCCATTCAAAGGAGATTACCAACAGTGGATCGATATCAGAAAATAGGCATTCAAGTAAATTCAATGTGTGTATTCTGTGGTCAGGATGAAGAGATATTTGAACATCTATTCTTTGAGTGCTCATAAACAAGTACTATCTGGAAGAGATTGCTCAAATGGATGGGAATTGAAAGACAGATCCAAGCTTGGGAGGAGGAACTGCATTGGGTGACTTACCATGCTAGGAAGAAGAAAGGAATTGGCAACATTATTGCAGCAGTGTTTGGCATGCTACTACACAGCTTATGGAGGGACATGAATCTAATCAGATTTCAAAGTGGAAGTGCATCAGCAGAGCAGATATGCCGCGAGATCACTTCATATGTACACATCAAAAGTCATACACACAGAACTTGGCAGGAACATATGGAAGCTTTAAATAGATATCCATAGTTAGGCTATTAGAGAATCCTGTATTCATGTGTATCTCAGTTTATGTTAGAATCTTATATTAGGAAGCAAATGTATAGGATATGAACATTTATGGCTGACTAATATAGTATATAGGGAGACATCTATGAGATGTGGGAGTTAAGTATAGTCCAGGAAGAGGAAAGGAGCTGGTCAGCAGATCCTACTATGTACAGAACAATTTTGATAAATGAAAATGTTAGTTTATCAAAAAAAAGATTGACTTGAGATCTGGCTACCATCAGTTGAGGATTAGGGCATCCGATTTCCCTAAGATAGCTTTTCGCACTCGGTACGGGCATTATGAGTTCTTGGTGATGTCATTCGGGTTGACAAATGCCCTAGCAGCTTTTATGGACTTGATGAACCGAGTGTTCAGGCCTTACTTGGATTCGTTCGTGATAGTCTTCATTGATGATATTTTGATATATTCCCGCAGTCGGGAGGAGCACGAGCAGCATCTTAGAGTGGTTCTTCAGACTTTGAGGGATACTCAGTTGTACGCCAAGTTTTCAAAGTGTGAGTTCTGGTTGAGTTCAGTTGCATTCCTGGGTCATGTTGAGGTGGTTTCGGATCATTTCGGGCTGTTTTGAAATAGCTGATGCTGGTATCTGGTGTTGTTCTTCGCGTTCGCGAGGATCCTCTCGCGTTCGGGGAGAAGGATTTGGCCTCAGGGACTCTGTTCTTCGCGTTCGCGGAGATGTTCTCGCGTTCGCGTAGAAGGAAATCTCTGCTGCACAGGTCTGACTTCGGAGGCTCATATCTCACAATATATAAGCAATTTGGAGATGATCCAAAAATGAAAGTTGTAGCTCTTTGTGTTTAGTTTTCAAAAATGTAAACCATTTGGAATTTGTATTTTTGTACCAAAAGTTATGGCTGGTACACTATAGGCTGTCCGGAAAGATAAAGAAGAAATTTGTATTGCACAGGGCTGACTTTGGAAGCTTATATCTCAAAATCTTTAAGGAATTGGGAGATGACCAAAACATGAAAGTTGTAGATATTGGTTTCTAGTTTCCAAAACATTAAACCATTTGTAATTTGGAGTTATGTACAAAAGGTTATGGCCATTATACTAGAGGCTGTCTGAGAAGAGTATGAAAAATAATTTTTGGGAATTTTCTTCTTTGCGAACGCGATGGGGGTCTCGCGAACGTGATGAAGACTCGTCTGGGCAGTGTATAAGTGAAAAGAAATGGGTTTGGCTCATTTCATCTCATTTTCTCCATGGGAGCCGACCTAGGAGCGATTTTGGAGCTCCATTTTCATCATCCATGTCAAGGTAAGTGATTCCCACCTATTGCAAGTTAATTACTTGGATTATATCTAGATTTTAATATAGAAAATCATGTAAATTAGTAGAAATTTTGGAATTTTGAAGAAAACCTAGAAAATTAGTATTTTTGGATTTTGACCACAATTTTGGGTATGGAATTAGGAGAAAATCGTATATTTGAGTTCGTGAGTTCATGGGTAAACCTTATCTTCGAGAAATTTCAGAATCCGGGCACGTGGGCCCGAGGGCGTTTTTGTCAACTTTTCGATCGGGGTTAGGAATTGCTATAAATTGGATTGTAGCGAGTAATTGAGCATATATTATGGATTTGTATAATCCTTGGCTAGTTTTGGAGCATTGTGCGTCGATTTAAGTCTTCGGAGGAGCGTGGAATGCCGGTTATGGATCTTCGGGCGAGGTGAGTCTCCTTTCTAACCTTGTAAGAGGGAATTGTCCCCATAGGTGAGTTAGTTGGTTATGTGCTCCTATTTGTGGGGGCTACATACGCACGAGGTGACGAGAGTCCGTGCGTAGCTACTATTATGCTATTGTTCGGGTAGTCTAGGACCCAAAGGCATGCTATACTTGGATTAATTGTAAACTTGTTGACAGTTTGAATTGCTTATGTTACAATGAATTAGTAAATGAATTGCTAAAAGGATTAAACTTCATTTTCTTAAATTGTTAAAAGAGGATTTGCTTTTATTTGGATAAATGTTCCCCGATAAATTCTTAACTTGCTATTTGAGCATGTAACCCTATGTGTACCTGTGTCGCAAGTATGATTCGCGAGCAGGGTATTTGTTTATTTTATGTTGACCGCATCGCAGGATAGTTCGTGAGCGGGGTAACAGATGCATCTATTGTTCGCGCCGTTCGACCCTCGGCAGTGCACAGTATATTTTCTGTTGGAGCGGGCCGTACGTCCTCGGCATGATTTGCGCATGCTTGTATTGTGTGCCTTGAGATTATTTGAGATTGATATTTGCTCCCCCCGACTTGAGATAATTGGAAACTATTGGTTTATGAACCTTGAGACTTTTAATATAAACAAGGAACTTTCACCTGTTCATGACTTACTTGAAATTACTGTCATTCTTAATAAATCCTTGATTATTCGCCTTAATAATATATCATAATTGGACCACTAGTAAGTATCGAAGTCGACCATCTCGTCTCTACTTCTTCGAGATTAGACGGGATACTCATTGGGTACACGTTGTTTTCGTACTCATACTGCACTTCTGTGCATTTTTGTTGCACAGGTTCGTATGTGGCTAGCGGCTTAGTGGCATAGCGACATGGTTAATATGGAGACTTAGGTGAGTTGCATTTATCGAGACGAATCACAGTCAGCAGAGTCTCCTTCGGAGTATTATATGGTATTTCCATTTCTGTCCACTTTTACTCCGGACAGTTATTGTACTTTATTCGATTCCTTAGTAATTGCTCATGTACTTGTGACACCGGGTTCTGGGATGTATTTGGGTTTATTCATAAATTTTAAAGGTTGTTAAATGTTTCATTATTTATTCGGAGGAACTTACTATGTATTGTTTTAAATGTATAAAAGAAGTGTTTTCGGAAATATTTAAATGAGAATTTGATTAAGTATTTTGATTGGCTTGCCTGACAGCGATTCCGGTGCCACCACGACCCTTAGTGGATTTGGGTCGTGACATTTATTAAGGTATGTTTGTAAGAATTGTGTCACTAGTCGTCTTAGATTTTGGCTATGGTTCTTATCGGGCAAGAGAGATCCACTACTTGTTAATATGATGGGTGGTTATGAGTTTTGGTATGTTTCTTTCATCATTGGCAGTGTACGAAGGTTCCGAACAAGGTTTTAGTTGATATGATGTTTGTTAATGGTGTCAGGTTGGTTGTTGAGCAGTTATTGCAGTTGGAAGTTATTGCAATGAGTATTTGAGTTATGTGATATGTCATGTGATTATATCTTGAGATATGATTCTGGATTGATACAGCTTGTTCAGAGTTATGCGGTGCATAGATGCAAAAATCGGTCATATAATGAGTTATGTATGTTGGGGATTTGGGTTTTAAGGTTTATGGACTAAGGTTGAAGTAAAGATCCTCTGTTAGGAGGCGTTGTCGGGCTTATATGGATTAGAGTGACGTGGGATCATGCATGGTTATGTGTATGGTGAGGTTATACGGCAATTTGATGGCTTTGGAACGACTCTTGGCACGTTCAAGGACGAACGTATGTTTAAGTGGGGGAGAGTGTAATGACCCGATCGGTCGTTTTGAGCTTTAGCATTCTATACGATGGTTTGAGAATTTGAGTAGTTTCATATTATGTATTATGACTTGCGTGTATGGTTGGTTTCGGTTTTCGAGCGGTACAGGATTGATTTGGAAGAATGATTCTCGTTTTAGAAGCTTTAAGTTGGAAGAGTTGACCAAGGTTTGACTTTTGGGTAAACGGACTCGGAATTAGGTTTTAATTATTCCAATAAGTATGTATGATGATTTTGGACATGTCCACAAAGTTTGGTTAAATTCCGATGAGTTTTGGATAAGTTTGGGTTGTATGGTGATTGTTTTCGGTTTCGACGTCGATATGAGCGTAAAAGTTACCATATGTAGCAACGACCTTTGATTCATATTTCGACTAAACTAATATATCCGTATAGTAATTTTGGAACCATAGCAATTGAAATCATCAAGTTTCGACATCGTATGACGAATATATGGTCATTTTACTACGAATTGGGTTGCCCGATTTTTCAGCTTAATTATCAAATTGCCACTGGATTCGTAATTAAAAATCTGCACAATTTTTAAATATTGAAACCAACATATCTCCTTCATTACAAGTTCAAATGAAGTGATTCAAAAGCCTAACTTGACTGGAATTTCACGAGAAATCCATTGGAGGCATCAAAAGCGTGTTTTGGGATCCTTTACCACAAGAAACGAGGCAGAACAGCTGGGCATTTTTCGCTATTAATGTTGTTGGAGTTTTTCTCATCTTGAAAGTTTGGGATTGAGAGAATTCAAGGATGTTATTCAAGTTTCTTCCATGGGGTAAGGTCTAAACCATAACCTAAGTATTTCCCTTTGATTCATTTCCTTGGTTTAAGCTTTAATTCATGATTTTAATTGAAAACGCATTTAATTCCTTAAATCAAGACCTAGGGTTATGTCCTAAATTTTAAAAATTAAAAATGAGTTAGAGGCATTTATTTACCGATTCCCTTTGAGGCCTTGTTCTTCAACATTAGGAGAACAACATACTCGAATTTGCGAGTTTTGGAGGAGTATTTTGGGAGATATAGGACCCAACTAGTGTGAGTTGGACTCTTGGGTTAGAAACACCCAAGAGCGATGTTTTGGCAAATTTGTTGAGCTATTGGACTCTGATTGAGTCTGTTTTAATTCGTATGAGCTTGTAATGGTTCGAGCTTCGCTCGGGAAAGCTTGGATTCGAGTCCAAGGAGGGCCCAACGTTGACTTTTTGAAAAAAAATGTAGAGATCATAGCTTTATTTATTGTAATTGGTTTCTCTTGCATTGTTTGATGTTACTAAGTTATTTTTGGTTAGATTTGAGCCACGTGGAGGTGAATTTTAGGGGAAAAGCTATTTTAGATTGTTGGGTTGGCCTAGTTTAAGTAAGTGTCTTGCCTAACTTTGTATGGAGGAACTACCCCTTAGGATTGATATTGATTGATTCATTTGTGCTATGTGAAAGCCGTGTACGCAAGGTGACGAGTGGGTAGATGGGTTGTACGTGATATTTGACCAGTTTAGGCTACTTAGACTATTTTTATGCCTTAACTGAAAAGACATATCATGTTCCAAATTTCTCATAGTCAATCTATTCTTATTTGTGTTAGTCTATCCTTACATGCCTTGAATAATTTCGTTAACACTGATGCACTGACACACCATATCCAAGGAGAGGTGCCATGGTGTATGTTGTTCGCTGATGATATAGTTCTGATTGATAAGACACGACGCGACGTTTATGGGAGACTAGAGGTATGGAGGTAGGCTTCGGAGTCTAAAGGTTTCAAGTTGAGTAGGACTAAGACGGAATATGTGGAATGTAAGTTCAGCGACATGACAGGGGAAGCGGATGCAGAAGTCAGGCTTGATCACAGGTCATCCTCAAGAGAGGAAGTTTTAAGTACTTGGGGTCTATTATCCAGGGTGATAGGGAGATCGATAGGGATGTGACGCACCGTATTGGGGTGGGTTGGATGAAATGGCGGTTAGCGTCTGGAGTCCTGTGTGACAAGAATGTGCCACCGAAACTCAAAGGTAAGTTTTATAGAGCGGTGGTTAGACCAGCCATATTGTATGGGGTTGAGTGTTGGCCAGTGAAGAATTCACATATCTAAAAGACGAAAGTAGCAGAAATGAGGACCGCGCTTCCCGCATCTTGTCGTCCACCGGAGCCACGCCCGCCCTCTCCCGAATATCTTTATTCCTAATCTCATATGGTTCGGACACGTGCAAAGGAGAAGCCTAGATGCCGTGGTTAGAAGGTGTGAGCAGTTGGCTTTGGTAGGTACGAGAAGAGGTAGATGGCGGCCTAAGAAGTATTCGGCCGAGGTTCCCGAGTGAGATGCATCAAGGACAACGATGGTAGAGTATTGTTGGAGGATGCCCAGATCAAGAGGAGATGGCAGACTTACTTTCATGAACTTCTGAATGAAGAAGGGGATGAAGATATTGTGCTAGGAGAACTAGAGCATTCCGAGAGTCACTGTGACTTTGGGCACTGCAGGCGCATCGAGGTAGAGGAGGTCGTGGGAGTTATGCGTAAAATGAGTAGGGGCAGAGCGATCGGGCTAGACGAAATTCCGATTGAATTTTGGAAGTGTGCGGGTAGAGCAGGCTTGGAGTGGCTGACCAAGTTGTTTAATGTTATTTTTAGGATGAAGAGGATGCCGGATGAGTGGAGGTGGAGTACGGTGGTTCCGTTGTATGAGAACAAAGGTGATATCCAGAGTTGTAACAATAATAGGGGGTATCAAATTACTGAGTCATACAATGAAAGTTTGGGAGAGGGTGGTTGAAGCGAGGGTGGGGAGGACGGTGTCTATATCCGACAACCAGTTTGGGTTCATGCCGGGTCGTTCTACTACGGAGGCTATACACCTTATTAGGAGATTGGTGGAACAGTACAGGGGGAGGAAGAAGGATCTGCACATGGTGTTTATTGATTTAGAGAAAGCGTACGACAAGGTCCATAGAGAAGTTCTCTGGAGATGCTTGGAGGCAAAATGTGTGCCGGTTGCCTACATTTGGGCAATTAAGGACATGTATGAGGGGGCTATGACTCGGGTTAGGACAGTAGGAGGCGACTCTGAGCATTTTTTAGTTGTTATGGGGCTACACCAAGGTTCTGTGCTCAGCTCGTTCTTATTTGCCCTGGTAATGGACGTGTTAACACATCATATTCAAGGGGAGGCGTCGTGGTGTATGTTATTCGCCGATGACATTGTCCTAATTGATGAGTCGTGAATCAATATGAATGAGAGGTTGGAGGTCTGGAGACAGGCTCTTGAGTCTAAGGGTTTCTGGTTGAGCAGGACGAAGACGGAATACCTGGAGTGTAAGTTCAATGCGGAGTCGAGGGAAGTTGGTGGAAGTGAGGCTTGAATCTCAGGTCATCCCAAGTTGTTGCAAGTTCAAGTACCTTGGGTCAGTTATCCAGGGGGGAGGGGAGATTGATGAAGACGTTACACACCGTATCGAGGCGGGGAGGATAAAGTGGAGGTTAGCATCTGGAGTCCTGTGTGACAAGAGAGTGCCACCGATACTCAAAAGGTAAGTTTTACAAAGCGGTGGTTAGACCGGCCATGATGTATGAAGCTAAGTGTTGTCCTGTTAAGAACTCACATATTCAGAAGATGAAAATAACAGAAATAAGGATGTTGAGGTGGATGTGCGGGCACACTAGAATGGATAAGATTAGGAATGAAGATATTCGGGAGAAGGTGGGCGTGGCTCCCATTGATGACAAGATGCGGAAAGTGAGACTCGGATGGTTCGGACACATACAAAGGAGAAGCCCAGATGCTCCAGTAAGGAGGTGTGAGCGGCTGGTTTTGGAGGGAACAAGAAGAGGTAGAGGACGGCCTAAGAAGAATTGGGGAGAGGTGATCAGACAGGACATGGCAAGGCTTTAGATTTCCGAGGACATGGCCCTTGATAAGAAGCTGTGGAGGTCAACTATTAGGGTTGTAGGTTAGGATATAGTTGAGTCTTTCCTTACTTCGTCCCTTTGTGAGGCTAGTCCGGTAGGTTTTTTTTTCCGAAGTCAGCTAGCGGTAACGTTGTGTCTTACTACTATTTTACTACTATTTCATTTTCATAGCGCCGGGTCTATACACTGTCTATCGTTTTTCCTTTGCATCTACTTTCTCATTTTCATGATGTTATTTTTCCTATGTTTTCTATTGGAGGTACTGATATTGTATCTTTGTGTTTTCGTCTTCTTGAGCCGAGGGTCTTTCAAAAATAGCCTCCCTACTTCTCGGAGTAGGGGTAAGGTCTGCGTACACACTACCCTCCCCAGACCCCAATAGTGGGATTTATTGGGCCGTTGTTGTTGTTGTCGTTCTACATCCTAAATGATAAATTGCTCTCATGCTTTTGTTGAACTTGTTGCCTCTTTTCTTGTTACATGTTATCATTTTCATTGTTGATTATCATTATTTGAAGTTGTTGTTCATGTTACCTCTTTCATTGTTGATTACCATTATTTGAAGTTATTGTTCATGTTATCTCTTTCATTGTTGATTTCTATTATTTGAAGTCATTGCTATCTCTTCCATCGTGAGTTATTCTTGTCTAATATTGTGGTTATACGTTATCTCTCTCATTGTTGAGTTAGTGGTGTTGAAGTTGTGAAAGCCGTTATCACGTTGAGGCAAAATTATTATTGTGAAACC